GGAAAGACAACGAGGAGGAAGAAGTGAGAGACATAGTAAAGAATAGAAAAAAGGCAAAAAAAAAAGTAGGGGAAAGGTAAAACTACTGTGAGATGGGCCGTCTCACAGAGAAAGTAGGTGAGTAAGTGAATGAGTTAGAGAGAGAGAGAAGTCCACCCTGCCTAGCCCACAGACAGTTCTATCTATAATCTATTCCGGGCCCAGCCGACGGCAATACGGACGGCCGGGTGATGGGTGAGTCGATGAGAGAGACAGTTGTTTTGGCGAGCGCACTAGCGTGACACCCACAGCCCCCTTCGCTCCCTTGCAGTTACCGTCATTGTTTCCTCCCTTCGTTTCTGTCCTTGACGTTTATTACCGCCTTGCTGAGCTCTAGGCGCATGGTGAAAACACAGGTGTCGCAAGAAGAGCTCCACCTCTTCACAGACACAGAAGTGTGCTCTCACAGTTTCTCTCTGTCGCTCTAGCTCCCTCTAGTTGCCTCCTTTCAAGGCACAAAGGAGCCGCGGGAGAGTCCTTCGCAGCACTGCCTACCGGTCAGACTGCAAGGCACTCCTCTCCTACTTTCCTTTAGCTCCCGCTCTCTCACTCTCTCACTCCCTCTCTCTCTCTCTCTATATATATATATATATATATGTATGCACCTATGCATATTTCAGATACACAGTGGAAGTGCCGTCCTTTTTTCGTGATAGAAATAAAATGGACAAGCATGCCTTCCACACCACGGCCCCACCCACACAAACACTACATCGTCCAGTAACTCATGACTGAATCACTTAAAGGTTCCCGGTAGACGCGTGTAAAGCGACCGTGCGGTGGGATTTTAAGCGGTGCTATCTCACGCAGTGGGAGGTGTTTCCATGTATCCGGCAAAGTAAGCAGCAGCGGACAGCACAGCTGGCCGTCCTCCGCGAGCCTATGGAGAGTGCTCCTCACCGACTCACCCCTCTGGCACCCTTTAAGTACTCGCTCAATAATGTAGTACACATTCACCAAAGTCGCATCTTCTCCGTGGTACACGCCGTGGAAGTCCTCCGCAAGCACGGCGTTGTGTGGGTTCAACTTGCAGCAGTTCGCGGCGTTGTCGACGATGAGCACACGGTCCATTTCGCGTCCCAGGAGACGAAGGTCCTTTGTGTGGAGCGGCTCCGTGAACCAGAGGTCACTGCGGTATATAACCTCATCAAACACCGTCCCACTTTCGCTTAGTTGCTCCACCACGGGTGACGCGGTTTCTTTTGTCGACGCCGTCCACAAAACAACCTCCAATCCCTTCATATGCCGCAGCGCATTAAGTACGTGCAGACAATACGGACGCAGAATAGCAGCGGAGCGATTGGCGTCACGATTACTCACAAGCGTCTCGTCGAGATCGAGCACAACCGTCACCGTCGGACACGTCTCGTGTGGTTCAAGCTGTGGAAGCAAGTAATTCTGAAATAGCGGCTTTGCCAGGCTACCAAAGCGATTTCGGAGGTCAACCGCACGGCAAAGTTCCGCAGATTGAGCAGCAGCATGTAGGCGCCGGCGTGCAGATGATGGCGCGCTGCAGAATGACACGGTGCGTCGCGCGGAGAGTGTAGATGCCCCACGGGACGATGACACTGTCAGGCCGTCACTGCTCGCTGAGGACGGTGTTTGTGGGTTGCCTTCCGCTGCCACGCGCTCCTTTGGTGAGGAGGCCGCCTGTATCCTCTGTAGCACACCAGACGACCGGAGTTGGCTGCGCCAGTACGACTTGATCACGCTCGTGGTGGGAGTGAGAGAGGTTCTGGCAGGCGCCTGCCCATCCATGAGGGGGTACTCGGTCATGTTACCGCGTTATAAAGTTATGAGTCTACACAGCGAGCCTTATTGTGTGTAAATAAGGCCCGTCCTCAGTGGAGCGCTGCAGGAACTTCCTCCCAGTGCCTTCTTCGCCGCCTTTGCAGGAAGGAATGACTCGAGAGGAGCGTGTGATGGGGCTGGCAGAAAAAAAAAAACAAAAGTGTGTTATTCTTTAACTACTGCCGCGTGATACAGTTCTGTTCTTTATTCCCACCTAATCTGCAGCCGTTGTTCGCTTAACTCCCGTCCACGAGCACTGAGCCGTCTTATAATTCCCTTTTTACTGAACAAGGACACCGAAGAAGGAAGGGAGAGTAGTGGTTTCAAGCAGGAGGCACAGCGCCGACAACAACGAGGCCGCCAAAAGGCATTTCAAAAGACAATCCATCGCACATCTCAAAATGCATTGATGCACACGAACACATCTGTGGGGCATATGTGCATTGATATACATTCATTGGAGCGAAGATGGGTGGCTCCCTCCTTTCACTCTCTCCCTCTCTCTCTCTCCGCCCTCCCTCTGTCTCCCCACTCCGTCCCCCCTTTGCCGTTGCTGAGGCCGCCTTCCCGAGCACACACGCACAGCAACCATCAACGAGATAGTACATGCAGATATACCTCTGGTAGTTCATACGCACTTTCCTTTCAACATTTCTTCCTTCCCTTCGAGCGAAAAAGTGTCCTTCTTCATTCTCTTCTTTCATTCTCTCTCTTTCTCTCTTTCTTTCCCACTCGCTCCCTATCTAGACTCCTACGACTGCCCCAAGAGCACTCTATCCTTGAGGGTTATGTCTATAAGTCGGTCCAGCTTCTCCACATCGAGTTGACGGAGGCTCTTCGGATCGTCCGGCTCGCCCTTCTTCGGCTTGCACAACGTGCGCAGGTTGGGCGATAACTTCAGGATGAGCACCGACCCGCGGGAGTCACCCACCAGCACAACAGGTTCTTGACTGTGGAAGACCACATGAGTGAGCTTCGCGTTTTTCACCACAGTCTGGGAGCACAAAGGCTCTCGCTTGTTCTTGTTGAGGTCAAACACCAGCACCTTGCCGTTCGAGGTAACGGCAGCAAATACGGTGGAGCTGTATGGGGACCATGCAACGTCGCCCACGCAGTCGCCGGCATCAAATGTCAGAAGCGGTTTCGTCGAGTTCTTAAGCCATAACTTTATTGTCCAGTCGGCGGAGCAGGTGATGAAAATGTCCGGGTGGAAGGGGTTCCAGCGGCATGTGTACACCGGCATTGTGTGCCCCTCGTAGCGCTCCAAGCATTGCCCGTTGTACCCTTTGCTACACAGCATCAGCGAACCCTCCTGTGTGCCCACAATGAAAAGGCTATCATATTTGTCGGAAAAGTCAAAGCAGGTACCACTCAGACGGCTACGCAGCATCGCCTCGGGATCTGATGCGCATGCGCCCGTGGTGGTTGTCATGACGTCCTTAAACACCAACTCCTTCTTGTGGAGAGACCAGCTGGTAATGCGCCCATCTGTGCTGATGGAGTAGAATTGGAGATCTATGGTGCGGCGACACCAGTGAATCTCCCAAACAGGGTCTGTATGCTTGCCAGAGCGCACGTTTGCGTGATAAATGGGTTTCACACTCTCCTTACCGTCCTTGCTCTGCATACGTAGATCGAAGACACAGACTGAACCGTCATGCAAACCACACGCAAGAAGAGCAGCATCCTCAGGATGGAAAGCGAGACACATCACACCGCTGTCAACGTTGAAAGATATCTCTGGATGTGCGGGAATCGGGGCACCTGCTTGCGTTGGCACGGAGTTTTTGAGAGTAAAGCAATGAATTGCGCCCTTACCCTGACGCTGGAAATCGTAGCTTCCATAGCCTACCGCAAACAGATCCTTATACCGCTCATTCATGGCGATGCTGGTGACGGCACTATGTTTTACCTTTGTCGTGAAGAATTGCCACAGTGGCAACAGATTGCCATCCTCCTTGTACATGTCACTCTCGTCCTCCCAGTACTTGAAATCCTCGATGATGTCATAGCAGTCGTTCTGGTTAACCATCCGCTCGATTATCTTCAACGCGTGACGGTATTTTGACGAATTCAACACTTCCTCCGCCGTCTTGACGCCGCTTGATCCCTCCACGGTGGCATCGCCCTTCTCGTCCTCCTTGCCGCCGCGGTGTGCGGGCGCCTTCTTGTGCACCGCCGCAGCCTTCTCGCTCTGGATGCGGTCCTCCTCGTACGCGTCGTAGATCTCCCATGCGGTCGCCATGCCGCTGAAGTTCATCGACGGCGGTGGATCTGTGACGACACAATGCTCCCTCATCGGGTTGTTCATTGTTTGACTGGAGCGTTCCCTGTAGTTGAACTGATTCTTCAGAATGCTCGTCGACACGCCCTCGTCCAGCAAGTCAGGGTTCAACTCGGCGCGGGCGGCGAGCTCCGTGTCACGCTCACGGCGCTGGCGGTCCTCCGCCTGCTGCACCGCCTCCGCGTCGTCCCTGCGTAGCGTGCTGCCATCCACCGAGAAGTGCCGCGCGGTCTGTCCCACGCTGGGAAAAAAGCGGTACACACGCGCATCCTTCTTGTAGTCGAAGTACACAGGTGTCGACATGACGCCCGGGTCGACGCCCTTCAAGATGCGCTCCACCACGGCGTCGCGGTCGTCGTCAACCAGCGGTGCCGTCGTGCTCGCCTCAGGCGTGCCCCCTGAGAGGCGGCTGGTCCTCCTGTTGGTGCCGCCGGCGCCGTGGCTCAGCCGCCGCACGGTGGTCTCCATTCTGCGTGACTGTTACCTGCGTTTTATCTGCAGAGAATGCGCGCGTGAGAGTGCGTAGGGGTCGAGTCTTCTTGCTTGTGCGTGAAGCTCCTTTTTTCACTTTTTTTCTATTCGCTTTGTGGTCCATGGAACAGACGTGACGACGAAGAAGCAAGCAACATATGTACAGACGCACAGATATATATATATATATATATGCATAAAGTACGGCAGGCTCCCATGGAAGCACAGAACAAATAGACGCCTCGTACCACCAGTGACCCCATTATAAACCCAACAACAGTGGAAGGCGCAGAAACACAAACACGCATACACAGAGAGAGAACAGGAAAACGCAACAGTCCGCAACAATAAGCTGAAGTACAAGAATAAAACACAAAGGGACAAATATACGAAGTGAAGGCAAACATAAAACACGAAAAAAAACTGCACAAGACCCTGAAAGAGTAGCACACGCGCTGCCTTCCAGATGACAAGAAACGAAAAAAGAAAAACAAGACGTAATGAAAGCCACAAAAACAGGCGATTGAGAGAGGATGCCATTCCGGCACAATTCCATCGTCATGGCACTAACTCACAAGTCATTTTATTGTGTACATGCCAACTATTTCTTCTCACATTCTTGCACTAGCCAAAAGTTACCTTCTCCAGTCCAACGTACCGGGGCACCTCCTGCTCCGCGATTAGGCGGTCGAATGAGCTGCGGAGGCTTTCCGGTAGAGAGCCAAGCTGGCGCGGGGAGAAGCGGGTACCTCGCCACATGTCACGCCGCGTATCTGACGCACCAGGCAGGGGATGGGGCCGACGCCACGAGACAGGACGCACCTCCCCGTCCAAAATGACGCACGCACCAGCCCTGTTTGTGTCACCGGTGTAGTTACAACAGGAGAAAAGAGTAAGAATGCGGGCAGCCAAGCCTACCTCCAGCCCTGAGCTCTTCTGCTGGTGCGCCCGTATCAGCAGCGTAAAGCCCCACCGACTCATAAAGCATTCAAGTGCAGAAGCGTTAAATTCCCGAATAACATTTGTGCTGTCACCTCGTCCAATGTTGCTGCGGAAGCCATGCACATCAAACTCTGCATAAGGTAGCGGCCCCACTGACGACGCATCTCCACCCCCCTCACCCCTGCTCCTTGACAACGGCGTGTCGCACGGCGACGAGGAGGAAACAGGGTCGTTCCATAGCAGCTCGCGGATCAGGCGGCGTTGTTGCGCAATCACAATGTTATCATCGGAAACAGGCATCAAGTGACGAAAGCGAAAATTATTCATCTCGTCTGGCGCACCTTCCATAATGAACTGCAGGAGTTCCACAGAGGGTGTATCGTCCTTGTCAAACTCCTCTCTTTCATAATCACAATCATCACCGTCATCGTCAGCCCCATTACACTCCTCCCTCTGCCGCTTGTTTTCACAGAGCAAAGGTATGCCCCCATGACATGCAAGGATCGTATCGTTAATAACTGCAATAACGGGAAGGGTCGAAAAGACATCATTCACGCGTCTCCAAAACGTTTCGCCGTCCTTCTCTCCAAAGAATTTTTGACACTTGATGCGGAATGAGAGATCTCCGTAGGATTCCACGTCTCCGTTCACTTCTTCATCTTCGTGGTTGCCACGCAAGAGAATAACCTTGTCAGGGCACACAGAGTACCATGCCAGCAGGTAAAGGACAACCTCCACATCATGCGGCCCGCGATCCACGTAGTCACCAAGAAACAGAATCGGCATGGTCATGAGAGACCAATGACAAAAGGGCACCACGTTATCATAGATTGTCTTTAAGTCGGCAAAGCTGCCGTGAATGTCGCCACAGCACACGATGGGCGAGCGACATCTCATAGTCAGAGGCATTGCCAGCATCGCATTGATGGTATTCTCCGCCAAAAGGAGGAAGTGTTGGAGTAACGCGTTTTTCGTGTGTTCAGTAAATTGCAGGAATGTCCCGTCCTGCGGCTCGTAGGCGTCGTCAATGTACTCCAAGACGCTGGCAGCTGCCGCATGCACGGGCGTCATGATGCGCGGTTGGCGAATACATTTAAGCATACTACGTCCACGACGCGTGACGTACAAGTCGGTTGCAGTATCATTTGCACTTTTTGTCGTCGCCGCTGGGCCAAAGGAGGAAAGAGTTCCAATCAGTTCACTGCCGTTTCCCACCACAGAGTGAAGAGTCGTGCGGTGTCCCCACATCTCCACCACAAAAGGCACAAGAGCATTCGGCGATGGTGATGGAACGTCATCCTCGTTCGGGATTGCCGGCATGTCGCACACGTATGATTTACTCATATGCTCGCTGCTCGTCTTGGAAGAGCTCCGTGTGCTGCTACTGAAGTAACCGGATCCATATGATTGTCCTTCTGCTTCGGCATCGTCGTCATCATCCTCCTCAGCACCATCATTATCATTATTATCATCAACCTCAGCACAATCATAGCCGTCGTCAGCGTCACCGTCTCCGCCATGATTTTTTTCATCGGCGGGCTCGATTATGTGCACCACACGAGGGGATCGGGGAGAGCGCCCTTGCCCAAGCGCGTGACTGCAAGGCAGACGCGGCAGCGGCATCAGGGCGTCTCTCCCACCGACGAGAATCGGCACCATCGGGGTGCACAGGATTCCCCGCAACGGGGGCACCACCGATTTACACACACTGCCGGCGAAGAAACGAAATGTCGTATCGCGGTGGCGCTTACAGAACGACACGGCAACGCCGGGCTGAATATCCACCAGCTGTTGGTACGACACTATCTGAACACCACAGACGTACACCGGGATATTCTTGGTGGATACGCTGAGAAGCAGTTCCCCTTTCGTGGTGCACAACACGTGGGCCATATCACGGCAGCAAGAAGCAGCGATGTGTGAACCAGAAACACGCAACTTAGGCAACGCCACGACGATGTCGCACAGCACGTCGGAGCCAATGAGTACCTCGTGGCCGGGTTCGACAATGATAGATTTATCGTCTCGCATACTGTTCCCTGGGTCGTTCTACAAGAGGGCAGCAAAAATAAAAAATAAAAAAAAGAGTGCAAGTGCAATGAAAAACAATTGCAAGGCAGGCTCTGTCGCCTCCCTGGCACCATCATGGCAGATAGGCAAGTGGAGCTATAGTAAACTGTGCTGTCCATAGACATGCATTTTGTCAGGCAGCTGACGCGCAGCACAACAAAGTAGAGAGTTTTAAAAACGCGACACATGCCTCCACATCAGTTAGGTTGTGGTCTCTCACGGCCTTCGGGCGGTGCTCCATTGGGCTGTCCCGAAGTTCAGTCTGCCACATCTTTCCTGCCTGCGCATAACCCACCAGAAATACAACACCCGCATCCGTGAAGCACACAAGACGCAAATTACATCCAGCATGAGCCTGGACACCGTTGGCCATGCGGACGCAGGAATTCTTGCTGTCCGCCAATCATGGTTGGCATGGTCCGCAAACGTCCAAGCAAACCGGCAGAACAGCCCAAACAAGATGAAGCTTCGAAAACAATTGCTGTGTCAAAACGGCGCCATCCCTCCTCGCCCCCTTCCAAAGATACCTTTCATTGACAAGAACCACGATACCGGCTTTATCTGGAATCCCTAAAGAGATTTCCTTCGCTCTAAGGAGAGAAATGAGGTCACACAACGATACCCCTTCTTCTAGTAGAAAGCCAAACGGAGGATACACCGCATCTGACAATTGTCCCTGGTCGATGCCGCCCAATAAGAAGAAGCATTGTGTCTCTCTACACAAGGTGGACCTTCTGCGCTGAGGTCTCTTGCACACCAGCCATGATGTGCGGTTGGACAACGCACGCCTACTCTGGCGTCCTGGTTGCCATATACTTCCACTGCAGCATCACCACATTGCCACGCGCAGGATAAAGGCTGAACAGCGGGTGACGTCACCCAGTTCACCAAACCATACGACAAAAATGTCCAATACACCGAGGCGCCAAACTCGTGCCAAGTTTACACCAGTTCATCATTATCATCGCCGCTGCTACCACTGGTGACGGCAGCAGGTGGTAAAAAAAATAATAACAGCCGTACGGCAAAAAATACCTAGCCGTGCATCTTCTGTGTAAATGTCAGAAATCCTTCTCTAGTGTTAGCAGGATCAGGGAGATATAGAACAACTTATGGTGAAATCACCAAGCATTACGTGATCAGAGCAAGCTTTTGCTTTTTAAAGGGGAATGCCTGACAATAACGGTGGAAATAAACGTCCATTATTAGCATAATACCTCTTCGGCCCGAAGTGATTCGCCGTAGCGAGACACTCGGGCGCATCAAAAGAGTGAAAGAGAGCAAAAGCTGCTCAAATATTAGTGTTTTCGCCGCTTCAATGCTCCTTTCTTTACAGCGCTGGCCACACTACTAAGCGGATCGCGTGACCTCTTACTGGGGCGCCGGGATGGCCTTCGCGATGACGCAGCTTTCGCGCTGACACGCTTGCGGTAGCGTTCGGGGGTGTCCGCGCTCTGAATGCGCATGTAATGTGGGACGTCCAGCAGTGCCGAATCACACTTGGTAGTCTTCTTTGCACGTGATAAAATACGTTGCAGAACGGCGCCATCCTTATCACTCATGTGGTTGGTGAGGTAAGCACTGCGAGTGAGCTCTGCCGCCACAGCGGCAACACGCTGTCGGCGTGTGGACGACCTAGTAATGGAAGCGAGCACATTGTCTACTCGGTACTGGAGCTTCGCCGCCTCCCTGCGCTGAAGCTGCTTGAAGGGCTCGAATGAATCATGTGTGCCGCTCAAATACTGGCGGAGGTGCCTTGTCACCTTCTGTGCTTGCTGAACCGAAAAAAACGTGATCGCCATTCCACCTTTTCCCGCCCTACCAGCGCGTCCGACGCGATGTGTGTATCGGGCGAATGCGGACGTCGTTGGTGACGCCACGCCGTCAAAGAGGATAACATTGCTCACATCGGAGAAGTCAATGCCACGTTGTAAGGCGCCGAGACCGGCACTCGTAGCCTCTTTTCTTTTGTTACTCGCTGAGTCCGCAGTCTGCGCCCCTGCCTCCGCAATGGACTCCTTCAGTCGGTCCACACCCTCCAGTGTGCCGTCTGTGCAAACAAGCGTGGCGACGGAGCCGACTTGGAAGCGGTGCAGCGCATCCACGCGGACATTCAGGGGAAGGTTGGAGTCGTACACAAGCGCCTCAACGCTCACTTGTGCCAAAAAACTGTGGAGCTTGTACGTGGATTCCTCTGAATTCACAAAGATGAGCGTCTTCCCTTTGATGTGACCGAGGCGGTACAACGCATACAGAAGTGTGTGGTGGTGGCACTCATCAGTTGCCACAAGATAGTAGTGACGCAACTTCTCATTCGGTGTGCCCCCTCGCACTGTCATACGCGTCTCCACGAGGAGTTTGTCGCCGTCAGGCGCAGCGCCATCATCACCAGCTCCTGTCCCATCATCGTCTTCCTCCTCCTCCTCCTCCTCCCCACTGTTCAGCCTGATGGTGACCGGATTCTGGAGCAACTGACCCTTTATGTGTGCCACGCCGTCTGTGAGCGTCGCCGAGGAAAGAATCGTCTGCGTGGACGGGGGCAGCACAGATTGCACAGCACGCAGAGAGTTTTCGGCGATCGACAACAACAGGTCGGCTTCGTCAATCACAACACATCGAAGAGACTTCAACTCATCCGCGGTCACTGCACCACTGCGGCACTGTTTTCCCAGCAACGCCGCCGTAGCCACAAGGATTGGGGCAGACGCCAAGCGTGCCTTTGTGATGGGGCCCCGCGATGTCAAGTTGTCCACGACGACCCTCGGCCTCATGTATTTGGCCAGCGCATTGGCGACCTCCACAGTCTGCTCACATAATTCTACTGAAGGCAGCAGGATAAGAGCCACAGGGTTTCGCTCCGCCCGGCGGCTGCGCATCTGCTCCGTTTCGGTGATGATTCGTTGCAGAATTGGAATCAGAAACGCAGCGGTCTTGCCGCTGCCAGTGCGGGACTGAATTGCCAAGTCGCGCCCCTTCAGCGCCAATGGAATACAGCCGCTCTGCACCGGTGTCGGCGTCTGCCACCGCAAGCGCTTAATCGCCTCCAAAATTCGACCGTCCAAAGCCAACTCTTGCCACGTGGTACAAATAGCACTCGACGGTGGTCCGCTCATTTTTTTTTCTTCGTCTACACTCACCGGTTTCGTTTTTTTTCCTCCTGGTTCACTCAGCAATCCCCACAGAAGGGACATAAGAGAATGGAAACACGCATAACGGCGGAGGAAGGGGAAGAAAAAAGGCACAAAACTGTCTGGAGCAGACCCAACCCAATACAGAATACCCGCATAGTCTTTTGGCTCCTCCGCGCACCAAGACAAGTAGCCATACCTTAAGTGAAGCGCACCAGAACCCCTTCTATGCTTGCACCGACTCCAAAGTAGAGTTCATCATGAAACAAAAAATGTGTCTCTGGGCCTCCAGAGCATGATGCTGTTGCTATCCACGGATATCAGGTGACCCTCTAGCCCCTCCTGCCAGTTCCACGACAAATCCGTCACATTGTCGGTGTGACCAGCGTGCTTAAATAGCAACTCATTTGTCGTTGAATTGTAGATGCAGCACTTCCCATCACCACCACCACCGCCACTAGCAAAGAGATGGCGGGAGTGCGGGCACCACTGCACTACAGAGACTTTACTAGTATGTAGGCGATCAATAGTAACCGCATCTGTGCTCTTCCGAAGATCGTAGTAAAGCACCTCACCATTTTCCCCGCCCACTAGTAAGGAAGTGCCATCGAGAGGAGACACGGCTACCGACGCAACACCACAAGGCAGAGCAAACAACTCCGCCAGCTCTGGTCCCCTCACATCACCATAGAAAACAGCTCCAGACTCACATGACGCCACAAATGCATGGGGATCCGTCCACGAAAAAGATATCTCACTCACCCGGGTTTCGCTGTCCTCAAGGTTGTAGGTGTAGGTAGGGGTGACGGTACGTGCATCATCCTTCGATGTGTTGGCAACGTGCCAGTAAGATATGCGCCCAACAGATCCAGATGCCAGCGTCCCATCAGAGGTGACACTCCAATCGAGTGATTCACAAGCACCATTACCACCGGATAATGTGAGAAGATGTTGTCCCTCCCCTCTTCGCTTGTCCCAGCGATCCTGCTCTGTCACCACAGCGTTCAAAGCACGCATTCGCTTGTGGTAGTTCATGCGTTCCTCGTCTGTAGGATTCGAACTGAGTTCGTTGGGCGGCAGCGGTGCTCGGGGTCGTGATGGATCATTAGGAAACTTGTTCAACGAAATTCGTGACCAGTCAAAGATGTACACATTGCCATCACTTGAGCCTGATCCGATGACAAGAGGGTTAGCAGGCATGTAGCGCACCGACAATGGGTCCCCATCGTGCAGCATGCGCCGCTCGACCTTCATACCTACTTGACTTGATGCCATCCCATACCCGCCCACCTCACCGGTCGCGTCGCAGTATGTGTCGTACGTGCGATCAAGCGACTCGGCAGTGTGGGGTGTTGTGACGGAGAGCAACTGGATGTACGCCTGCTCTTGGCCCCCCGTCCTTGCACAGCACAGCACCGTTTGTGTTGCCAACCCCATTTTCACCGTCATGTATGGCATCAACCGCGCTGAGGGGCTTTCCCAAACGAGGTCAATATGAACAAGGTGCTGGTACAGGTCACGCACATGCTTTCGCCATGTGCAGAACTCTTTTCTTTCCTGGTACGGCACATCACTCTGATGCGAAGCGTCATCCACGGAATGCTCCGGCGGGGCGTCCACCACGCCGCTCTGGAGCGCCGCACCGTCGTCACCTCCAAGCATTGCCGCCCCCCTTTACGAGGACACGCACGACCCAAAAAAGCGAAAAAAAAAATGATGAGAGCAGAGGGGGGAAACAAAGAAAATGAGAAGGAGGGAGAGAAAGAGGATGAGTAAAAACACAAAGAGAAAAAAGAAAACGCCAAAACATCCTTCACATCAATCAGTGCCCCCGCAGTGGGCAAGAAAAAGGGAAAATCAACCGCCAACACTTTTGGCATGGAGAAAGGCTTCAGTGCAAGCGGCGCCGTTTCGTCGGCCCGCTCGCCTCGCTGTCTCCGCCGCCACTCATCCACGCGTGGGCGGCAACGTCGTCAAGGCACACGCGCACCGCCGGGTCCCCCGCGAGCATTCCACGCAGGAGTCTCCCGCACTCCTCTGAAATGGTGCGAGAAAGCTCCAACACGCCTCGCTCAGGAGGCTTGCAAAAACACATGAAGTGCAGAATCGCGCCCAGAGACCACACATCTGCCGCAAACTCGCCACTCGCCCCCCTCTCTTCGGCCGCGAGAACTTCCGGCGCTGTATAAGCGCTTGTGCAGCCGAGTGGCGAGAGGGGCTCCTCCTGTCGAGATATGCGATGCCTTGCCGATCCAAAGTCTGCTAGCTTCAGTGACACGCACAAGGCGGGAACATTTTCCACTTCGCCCAAATGTTCTTGAAATGAGGCGTCACCAAACACGAGCACAACGTTTTCCGGCTTTAGATCGCGGTGGACGATGTGGTTGCGGTGCATGTGACGCACAGCATCGAAGAGCTGTGCAAACAGGCCTCTCACCTCTCTTTCCACCAAAGGACGCTCCGCGCCCCTTCGGCCTACAACGTAGTCAAAGAGGTCCCCACACCCACGCTCCATGACGAGAGCCAAAACAGGAGGTACATCGATCACCTCGATGAAGCGGACAATATTCGGATGCGGCGACAATGCCCGAAGAATGTCTGCCTCCCCAACGAGTGCCTCTCTCATGCAGCGTGACAAAAAAGAAAATTTACGCGCGTCAATCGTCTTGACTGCCAATGCCTCACCACTGCGGCAATCGATGCCCACTCGAACGCAGGAAGCGGCCCCTGTGCCAATCACCTCCTTCAGCACATATCGCCCCGCCAGCACATCGTACGGTTCACAAGTGCTAGACATCTGCAGCAGGAATGAAAAAGACGCGCAATCCGGAAGAACAGGATTCATCAGCGAAAGCACGTCGCCCAACTGCAGCTGCTGTTGCCTTCCCTTCCCAATACGCTTCCCATTGATGAAGGTACCGTTGTGGCTCAAATCCTCGATAACAACCGCATCACCCTCATGACGCACGAAACAGTGCTTACGCGATAAAATGCCGGCGGAATCAGGAAATACCACATCGCAACAAGACGCATCACGACCAAAACTCACAAGACTTGAAGACAGTTGAACCTCTCCACCGTCACCCCCCAAAGGTCTAAGAGAAATCTTCTCCAAACCTTCATGCATGCCGCAATGAAAAAGAATCAGTCTTTGAAAGAGCAATTTCAAAAAAAAAAAGGGAGGGGTGTGCAAAAAAAAAAGAAAAAGCAAGCAGTAGACTCTACCCGCATCGTAAAGCACCATTAGCAGTAACAACTGTTACGGCCTTCCACCAAAGAGCACCAGACCACTCATACAATGCCAATCACCTCCTGCTGTGATGAAATAAGCACAAAGGAGAGAAGACAAAATTCCATTGTGGTAAGAAAGTAATGTTTCGGAAAGCAAAAAAAAAGCACACTAAACATAGTATAGGGGGCATCAACACATGCTGTATAACATATCATGGGCCCTGGAGCTTTCGCTCATGTTAACACACCAATCGTTAATGCCCTTTGCATTACAGAGAGTACGCTTTGCTGTATTCTTTCGGGTAACGTAACTAGAGGCAGAAGCTGCTTGAGCTCACTGCGGCCTACACAGCCCACCACCACCTGCGACATCAACATCGCGAGACGAACGTGTCTGCAAAGTTGATGGCTTCTTCCCAAAGTCTTCAAATAGGGCTTCCCCCAGCGTCATGGCATCTGTCTCTGTGAGTACAATCGGGCACCCCATGAGTGGATAGATACAGCCAGCCTCGTGCATCGGAAGCGGTGTTGACACGTTTATTCCACACTTCTCTACCAAACTCTGTCGAAGCAGCGCACAGAACTTCTCCGTGTCCTCGATTACCGAAAACTCTCCCAGGTAGAAGAGCACCAAGCAGACCTCTCCAACACCGCATGGAATCGCTGGGTAGCGGTACGAATCCGGCAGACGCGCGTCCCAATACGGAAACGCCTCCTGGATGCCCGGGTAGTGGATGGCAAAATCCACGTCACAGCCATCGCGGCGCACACCGTGCCGTACGTCCTTGAATATCCGATACACCTCCGTTATGCTGGGGTCGTACCTCTGCACCGCGCCGGCGCCCGGCATCCCTGGTGGCGGCGGAGGGATGTCTCCCGCTCCTCCTGCTGCCGAAGACGGCAAGGGGGATGCATCCAGAAACGTAGGGCGTGCCCGCGGTGGGCGCTCGCGAACTTCTTGAAGACGAACCACCGAGACAGGGACATCTTTTCCGAGCATTCGCATGCCTACTATGAAATCCTCATGAGAGAACTCCTCCAGGCCGTCGTTCCCGACAGAGTTGCAGTCCCCTTCCTCATCTTCCTCCAATCGACGAACCACGTGGGCACCAAGGACAGGATCATCCTCCTTCCCGACACACCCCGCCTCCTCCAGAGTCATGTAGTTTTCAAGGAGGTGACGATTGGTAAGAACTACTTCCCTTGGCAGAAATCCAAAACGAAGCTGAATAAGTCCCTTCACCTCCAGGATAGTCGTCCTCGGGTTTAGCAGCTCATCTAACTCCTCAATCGTAGAGGTTTTTCCGGTGAGAAGCCACTTTATTTGGATTTTCATGTCGCCTACTTCCGAGCTCCTAGAAATTTTAAAAAAGGGCACACACACACACACAAGGAAGAAGAATTAAATTAACAAAAACGGAAAAATAATATCAAAAACCCTAAAGATGCACTAATTCAGGTGACTAAGCCATGATCGAGCCTTCAAGGCGTTGCCATCTTCCAATATTCCGATAACAGTAGTGCACAGTAAAAAAGCATTCAACTTCCAACGCCTCTTCTTCTCATTCACTCTCCCACAGAGGCAGAGAGAGCCCCACTTGCGCTTGTCTGCAGTAGAAGTTGGCAGCGATGCAGCTCATCCTCAAGTCGCTTGATGTATCCTTCGTATGTCTGTATTAGGGCGTTGTGTTCGGCGTGTGAATTTTGCTCAAGAAAAGCATTGCGTTGAAGAGCATCCCAGAGCCTGCGCTGTAGCTCGGTAATGAGATGATCGGCAGCATCTGATGTCTCATGGCGCATCACAGGTGCATCACTGGGTGCACCGGTATTAGTCATTCGCGCCGTTGTCTCGAGTCTTTGCCTCATCTGCGCATTTTCAGCACGCAGCCTCCGACACTCCGCATCTGCCTCACTCAGTCTAACCCTCAGCGCGTCGACTGACTCGTTCTCATTCATATTACACACTCAAAGAAGAACGCAAGCCAAAAGAAAAACAAAAAGAAGCTTGAGATCATAGTGAGCACGGCAGACACGGAACTGTCAAAAGCCCCCCTCAACGAAACCCAGAAAGCCACAACAATTCTTACAGATACGGGGCTTTTCTCAATAGCGTCTCCACTTATGGTCGCAGACATTGCAGAAGCAGAACACTGTCATGGGTTCATCAGCTGACCGCGTCTGCTTTTGCGTCCACGTACAGTTTCTCGCCTTACACGACGGACACTGAAAAAGTGTTGACTTGGTGGCCGTAGCCTTACGTATTTCTGTCAAATCGGTGTCTTTGCTACGCGCCAGAAATTCCTCTTCTTGTCTCCTCCGCGCCTCGGGATTCAGCAAATCTCGCTCCGTCATGTGCACTAACACCTCTACAGGCAACCGTCCATCAATTATGTCCCTTCGCAATATGGTGTTCTTGGTATCTTTTAGATTCACCAAAAGCACGCGGAATCCGTCTGCGGATGTACCCCTGTCACCTGGTATAGCAGACGCGATGCGTACCGCGAGAGCACTTACGCGCGTTTCTTCCGCTTGCTCGCGTCCCTGCATCAGTGCAGCGCAAAGCAACGAGCTCCACTTCGAGATGCGTTCGCCGCCCTGTGCTCCAACAGTGACCGGGGTCGTGGTGGGTGTACTAGGCGTTGTGCTCTGCACGCTCGCGGTGGCGGATACTGGCGGAGAAACAAAGACAGACTTCCGCACCGAGGGCAGGGGGGCTCGTGGAGTAATGTGTGTGTCAGAGCCCACCGAATCACTCCTTGAGGTGATGCCCGACGTGATCGGTGGGGGACGAGGGCGCTTGACTCCTAATCTCTCATCCAAGTGTTCCTCAGGCATAACGTCTACATATAACAACGCCTCTGTGCTACAACTACTTGAAGCAACAGCAGAGTCAGAATCAAGCCCCCCACACACAAAAAAAAGGGCAGTCAAGAAATATACCAAGAAACTTTTTATTAAGAAAAATAAGTCAGAGCCCATAGTGGCATCAACAACGCAGCACGAAGAAGAACACTACACTTGCATCAACACAGAAAACCGTGTGTTGTTGCACTATACTCTACGCCTCATCCTCCCCCTTCCCACACGAGTTTTTGTTCTTGAAGAGACAGACGTTTTCGCATCGCTAGAGGCCATCTCCCATTCAGGAGGCTGGCAAATCATCCTCAGCGTCTGAAGGTGTGAGAACAGCCGCAGCACGTCAACAAATTAGGTGTCGCGTCGTCACCAGCCCATTTCTGTTTATCCGCCTGCCTCTGCCTTAGCAAGCATCGTTGTCCACCACAGGAAGGGCACGTATAAATGGTTGTCACAGCTGAAGTAAGCTGCTCGACAAAAGCGACAGTCTTTTGTCGTAGAATATTCGTGCGTTGCCTTTCCCATTTCTCTCGCAGGGACGGGTTGACGAGTTCGCTTTCCTTCATTGACGCCAGTGCCTCTGGTGTGAGTCTCCCCTCCAGAAGAGCTTGGCGAATAGCACCATTCTTCGGATCAGAAAGGTGGTGCACAACGACGGCAGCCACATGCACATGGTCCGTTTGATGCCTCAGTGCCACCACCATACGGTCAAGAAGGGAGGAGGGCACACCAACAGTTCCCGCCTCAGCTTGCAGCGACTCTTCCAGGAGTTGTCGCAATCCCGTCTTTCTCAGGCGCGCTGGCGGAACACCAATGCGTCGGACTGTGGGCCTAGCAAGGTGTGTGTAGTTCGCGGAGATAAAACGCAGGAACTCTGCGTTGATTGTGCAGTGAATGTCACTGTAATTACTTGCCGCACTCCATTCACTACTGGAGTCGCACCATGACTCCACGCTCATATCACTAATCTATGTGTGCCGCGAAACATGTCTAGGCGGGGAAACCAAGGAGAAAAAAGATTCGTGAAGAGGGAAGAAAGTGGGTCTTCTCGTCTTTCCAAGCCCATCTCTTGCAAATTAAGAACTTCTCATAAATAGGATTCTCACGGGAGGTCGATCTTTTTCACATCGCCCATACAGCAGGTGAGACATGATGTACAGCATCTACAAGAAGTAGGGAGCAGGACCAAGCCAATACCACTTAATGTGGCTTTAGCGTCAGAGATACATCAAGAAAGGGTATGTATTCGAACAGTTTTTTTTTTCCACCTTGCAACCACACCGTAGCGGCGTTCTCCGGTGGTGAGAGCGTGCAGAGAGGATAGCAGGCAAAGGCAGGTCTACCTCCAATCTACTTCACGCGGCAAGTACACCCTTTTTTCTTCCCCTCCTCCTTATCCTCCTCTTCCCCCTCATGATTCTTCTTCTTTCTTTTCTTCTTGACGTAACTACTTCTTCGTGACGTGACTCCTTGTTCTTCGTTGGTTCTTTACTATTGCTGTGGCCTCTTGTGACGAGCGACACCTGCGAGAGTGGGAGAGTGTGCCTTTGGTATCGAACGCGCCACTTGAGGAGAAGTAATATGCACTGTGGCACCCTTCAGAGGACGGCGGCCCACACCAGCTTTGCGCACCGCCTCCGCCTGCTCCTTCTCACGTTCTGTTTTTAACAAGTCGCGAAGCTTAGAACGGCGCTCGGCTTTATCAAATTCTTTTGCTACGTCCAATAACTGGCCCTCAGCCTGCTCGCGACGTCTGTCCTCCCTGTTTTCTTCCTCAATCTTGACCTTCCCCGCATCCCGCTTCAGCTCGCGATCGCGGCGTTCCATTAATTCCAAGCTATCACGTGTAACAGCCCTCACTTCGCTGCTGTCATCCATCTGCAGGCGGCGCACCATGTCCTGGTACTCCTCAACAACACTACCAGAAGCTACCGGCCCCAGTATGCGGTGCAGTGACGGCAGTATACGCGCTAATTCTAACCTCACCAACTCCATGTGGTCATGCTGCAGCTCGTAACAACAGTCCAACATCCTCTCTCGAACGAAACGGCGAGAAAATACCTCACATGTAGCTCTCGCAAAGCGCAGATAGCTCTGGCGCACAAGGCACGAAGAGCTATGGGCATATTCATTGTTTAGTTTGCTGAAAAACTGCACCTTGTTGTTCACGTTGGACAGACTAGCAGCAATTTTTATACACATGTCGGCACAACGTTCCTTCAGACAGAACGCTCCGAGTCTTTCATACTTAAGGAGAAGTGGTAAAAACTTCTCATGTAACGTCGTCTCCTGCAGCTCCTTATAATAAGAAGAAACGATTTTCAGTACATAGTCCATAATACGCCAATCCCTTTCAGCGCGTGCAGCAAGTCGAAGCAAGATTTCCTCCGTGCTAGAAAAAAATGCCACGCGATCCGTCGGTTTGAGCTGCTGTACAAAGCAGTCAAGTAATATATTTGTATGAGTAGAAAGTGCTTTTAAAACACTCTTCTGAGAGTCGCCCAAGAGTTCTAAAAAAGGTTTACGAAGATACACCGCCGCCTTGTCACCGAGGAGGGAAACTAATTCGTGCAAACCTGCAGCAATGCTTCTGCGTACAGGCTCACATGAGTCAGTGGCAAGTGCCTCACAGCACGGCGCCAGGTTGGTGGGAAACACAGATATGGGAAGCGAAGCAGTAACAGATGGCAAGTTGTATGCACACACGTGTCGAGTCGTGTCATCACCCTTCAGCGTAGAGTTCTGGTAGAAATTTGCGAACAGCATAACGTCCTCATTTGTCTGTATGTCGGCTTTTATTTCCCAGAGAAAGCGACCAAATTCACCGACAATGAGACTTACTACCTCCTCCGGTGGGTGCGATATGAAGCCTTTGATGATGGGGTACAAGTGCTCACGGCGGTATGCGGGCCCAAAAAATTCTACAAGGTCAACTAAACAAGAGAACGCTGCGCGTGAAACGCTCTGGTCCTCGTCATTGAGGAGCTCAAACAGCTCCATGGCGATCTTCTCCTTCGCCTTCTCCACACCCAGTGAGCGTGCGACGATACCGAGCTGCTGACACATGTGTCTCCGCACACCCACATTGGTGTCCTGGCAGAGTGCCAGCACCTTGTTCATCAGCTTCCGCTCCACGGTGTCGCGCGGGAGGTGGCGGCAGACGGCACCAATTAGGTCACAACTAAGTTCACGCTGATCCTGTGGTTCTACATGCTCTGACTTTTTGAGGGCAAGCGGGACCACATCGTTGTCGAGCTGCTTAGTGTTGAGGTAGTCAATAAAGGCGAGGAAAAGTTGGTTCCACGCGATCCGTATCTCAGCTGTCTTAACACTCAACATAGTGCTCGTCACCATGAGCAACTCACGTGCTACGGCGTTGTTCAGCAGCGGCAACACCTCCAATAAAGCACCTGGGGCAAAGCACTGCAATTCAGGCTCCTGCACCCACATGCAATCCACGGCAGTCATAAGCACCTGCGACACACTCGTCATGTCCAGCCCAACCAGGGTCTCCTTGAGGCGCTGGAACAACGACATCTTCTGACCAGTACTTCCGTTCGCCATGATATACTTCGCAGCTTCTTCAACAGATAGGTTCCTTGCTTCCACGTAGTTCTGCACAGCCTCCTCATTCTTCAGTGATGCATTGAGGGCGTTGAGCTTATCCAGCGCTGGTAATTCGCGGACAAGGGCGGTTGGGTCGTCGGGATCCGCCTCCACAATTGGCTCGCTGCTTGCTGCATTAGAGGCCGGCAATGTGGCTCCAACGGCGGGAGGGCCGCTCTTCCTTCGGAGCCTCCCCTTTGCGGACGAAGGGCTGGGGGTGTCTAGGAGTTGTTGTCGAAGTTCAAAGGGGGACTTGTACTCCATGGACCACTGAACACTACACCACGCATGCAGATACACATACACACATACACACACACACAAGCAAACGCACAGACACGCACANGGGAAGAGAGAAGAGAAGAAAACGCCGAGTATGACAGTACCTCAATACACAAAGCGATTGGTTCGAACACAAACAGAAACAAGAATCTATACGTAGACTACACAACAAAAAACAACAACAACCAAAAATAAAGCGCAGCAAGTTAGAAGGTGTGAAAAGCGTAATTAACACGCTTCAATAGTGTGGTTCCTTCGAGACCGGCCTTCACGAGCCCCTCAGTGGGCAAACAAAGCGTCCCCTCGCCTCCAGCATCAGTTGCTTCAACAGACTCAAGTTGCCGCTCCAACAACTCTCGAAGAAACGCCTTCAAGGAAGCCGCAGGGCTTCCTTCCGCGCGGGACGCCACAAGAAAACTTAGTCTTTCTTGCGCTGCAATCGCAGACTCTGTCATCTCGCAGTCAAATCGAGCAAAGAAGTCAAGCGCCATGTCCTGTGCCGCCTCAAAGCTTAGAGGTGGTACGTAAAGAAGTGTCTCAAAACGACCCTGTCGCAAAAGAGCACCATCAAGTATATCAGGAACACTTGTCGTGGCAATCACGAGGACCTGTGTGTTGTCGAGAAGTCCATCCAGTTCACAGAGCAATGCGGCAAGCATCCGCCTTGTTACATCAAGAGACTCACTGCCTCCACCCTCAGAAAGAGCGCCTCGTGACGCACCAATGACATCCACGTCGTCCAGGACCAACACAGAAGGTGTGCGCTGACGCGCCTGCATAAAGGCAACCCGCAGCCTCTCTTCGCTTTCGCCAAGGTATTTGGAGAAAAGCGTGGCACAACTGACGAAGAAGAATCTGTCAGGGTACGACGCGGCGAGCTGCATCGCTAACGCCGTCTTGCCGCTACCGGAGGGCCCATGAAGAAGGATGCCAGTTGTGGAGGCAACAGCAGCGAGCAATCCACATCCCCCCATATTATCTCGCTCCATAAAAAGTCGTACTAATGTGTGGACGCGTTCCAGCACATCATGGAGCCCGAAGAGTCGGTCGCTAGATGCAAACCCCTGCGACGCCGCTGCCGTAGTCGTCAGTGCCGCTCGGTCGATAAACTGCGACGCAGCTGCTGATTTGGCAGGTTTCAACGCAGAGCTCATGAGTCTCGCATGGCACAGATACAACATAAGTGACCGTCGCGTGTTAATGCATGATGCAAAAGCAGTACAACCCTCGTCAGCAGCACATGCCATGAATGCATCGGCATCGGGAAGGCAGCGGAGGTATCGCCGCACAGCACTGGGTGTCAGCTCCCGCAGCTGGTACGTCATAGGAGCCCGAATCGTCAGCAGCCACTGCGGCACGTGGTGCACATCCGTTGCCGATGTCACTAACACACAATGTGGTGAGCGAAGCAATCGACGCACCACTGTCTCAAGGCGGTCCAACAAAGCGTGAATGCGGAGGAGATAATCGATGGCCCAAATGTCATCCAATAACACGACTGTTCCGGGCGGGTACGTCGCCGAGGCTGGCACAGCACAGGCGTTGAAGGACCGCAGAGCGTTGAAATCCACAACAAACATTCGTGCCCTCTCGTTTTCAGGCCCTGTCGTTCCTGTGTCCGCTTCATCCACCGTCGGCATACCGTTCACAACACGCATGCCGTACGCGGCCGCACCCTCCCGCACAGCCTGAAGGTTAGTAGACTTTCCGGATCCCGCTGGCCCCAACAAAAGAAAAAAGAACGGCACGGGCTGCACCTCCGAAAGCACGCGGCGCAGGTCTGAGAGGATGACGCCATCGACGGACATTATGACTCCGGGAAAGGGGGAGGAAAAAAGAATAGGACACAACATCTGTGTAATTGAAAAAAGGACGAGCATGCGCGCACCGATGCAGTAGCAGGCCAGCAGACACATATACAGACACAAACGCACGCATATATATATATATATATATATATATTGAGAGAGAGAGAGAGAAAGAGCGTGAAGAACATTGTCAATCTTCGTCATCCTCGGCATCAAACTCATCATTTTTGATCACACCGTAGCGGTGCAAAACCCGCTCCACCGACTCAATTGAGAGTTGTTTGTCTCTTGACAGCCACGGCGCGAGCTCTGTTAACTGTTGCTGTAGATTCTTCTTGTTGTAGAACAAAACGCACGGCAAATAGCGGTCCGGAAAGTTTTTGATTGCCTCAGTCGATATCATAGAAACAATTTTCACGTTGCGTTGACGTTGTGCAACCACGCGCATGACAGAAAGCAGCCCCTCGCAATCGTTATGCCCTGGTCTGATCAAGACGGCAACAACCCAGTTATTTAGAGAACCTTCCGTCACCTCAGCCATGTATTGAGAGCCCGGCACGTGGCGAAGGACACCAAACCGTTGTGCCTCTTGCTGCTGCTGCAACTCCGCCAATCGTTTCTTCCTGAACGCCGCGAGGGCCTCATCCTCGTCGTCCTCATCTACCACGACTCCGTCGAGATTGGATTCACCAGGTTGCACCTCTGTATTGTACCCGCCACGCTCTATTTTGTCCTGCACGCGCTCTTCATTAGGGTCATACGTCTTGAGGCATGTGTTCACATTCTCGTCGGCAATTTTTTGCGCAAGTATACCGAGTTCATTGTTAGCGTACTTACCGACACGATTACCGTACTTGTACTGAATGTCCTCCCACTCTGTGGTGCGAATTCGTTGATCTGCCGTCCTCTCCACCATCGCTAAAAAAAAGGCAGAGCCTACCTATACCTGCTCTGGCACTCAGATGTAAAGCGAAGAACCAAACCAAGCACGCCCGCAAACAAACAAGAAACACTGATCAAACCGTATCAGTACACTAAACCTCCATATATACAAAGAGTCGACACAGCTTCACTGACGTACAGATGCATATACACGTAATCACCCTCGCAATGCTACACTCCTCATCGCAAGCGTACATTGTCTCTACATATCGCTGAGGAAAACCGACTAAGAAGAAGCCGATCCAAATTTGCTTACGTTATGCAGTCCAGATACATAAGTATCGCCTGAAACCATTGTATATGTATTCTGTGTCGACGACCAGACTGGAATTGGACCGGGAAAGCGGGTGCGCGCCCCCCGCACAGGCGGTAGCTCCGCCTTGTAAACCTGGTTGGGGCATCGCACGTGGCGACGATTACAGATAGACACATGTGAGTGAGGGCCGTAATGGTGGGGCTTCTGAACCACGCCAACAGTGCCGTCTTCAGCAAAGGCAAACCAAAGCCTGCCAACCTCTTCCAGCTCCTTCTTGGAAGGATTCCGACCCTTGTACTCGCGGAAGGCCTTCGTGTATGCCTCCGTTGCAGCCCGCGTTGGTGCATCATCAGGGATTTCGCGTTCGGCTGAATTTTTTATCGCGGCCTCCGCGTAGCGATGCACAAAATCCTTCTCCCTGCCCGTCAATTCATTGCGGTCACGCGTCTCGCGGAAGGGCTCTGTGGAGGGTAGTGCCCCATCGAACTTGGGATTGTGCTCCTTAAAGTATGTAGAGCTTGACACATGCATGGTTCTCTCCTGATTCTTCTTCTTCTCGGCATAGTACCTCTCCACCGCGTCCTCATCCTGGCCACAGCGCTTCTTCATGGAATGCGAGACGGTCGTTTCAAATGTGCAGCACGGGAGGTCTGGTGCTGCCAGCGTCACATCCTTCTTCGGCAGTGTCGCGGAGTGCCGCTCCAGCTGTGCCACACCATCAAGGAGGTCTATTCTGCAACGCTCATCTAGCGTAGAAGTATCGACAGCATTGTAGATAGTTGTCATTGTCCTTTCTTAGTTCCTCTTCTCCCCACTTCCCTATATGTCTCTCTCTGTCTCTCCCGCACACAAACTGTGTCACAAGGGGGAAGGAAACAAGCAAAAAAAAAGACAAGAGGAATAAAGCCCAGCTCTCTTTCTGACGCATCAGTGCCGCAATGTAAATGTCCCCAACTCTTCACGCCATGTATTTGAAATAATAAAAAAATGGAGGCACCATTATTAAAAACTAAACATGAGCCTTGGGGCATTCCTGTCCTCAACCGCCACAAGGGTAAAACTAAAAATGTAGCAAACGAGAACGCCTCACAGCAGAAACTTTTTCGCCTTCTCTGGCAACTTGATCGCTCGTACCTGATGGAGTGCCCGTCATCTTATTTGACGGTATACCAGCCGGAACGGCCGTTCTGTAGGCTCTCCCGACAGAGGGTTCTCTCCACGAGCTAAGAAAAGGGTGGAAGGCCCATTAAAAAAAAAAAGCATTGTGGTGTTCCCGGCGGCGTCGCCACGGATCAAACTCCAGAAACATCGAAAGACAATGAAAAACATCAATCAGGTCACAATAGGTGGACAGCTTCTTCGCTCACATTCTTCTCAAATGCTCCAAAAAAAAAAAGGGAGGGGGGGGAAAGAATGCATAATTATTGGTGCTTGAACAAGACATCCATGGAGCTCCCTACGCATGGTTTATCATTTCACCCTAATCGCGGCAGCGCGGAAGCAGTCCACGCACCCAATAAATGCGCTCATCAGCATCAGCACAGATTTCCACACAAAGTTTAGCTCAAAACCAGCACAGCGAATGGCGGAGGCTGCAACGAGGAGATCACATAGGTTTTGGAATAACTGAATGCACTGCATACTGCGGCTGCGAAAGTGACGGTCGCATCGCATATCGAACAGGCTGATAAGGACGGCGGCAAAGCAAGCCCCAAAAAGGCCTAAGCGGGAGGTGAAAACAATTTCATGGCAGGAAATTACACTTCCCTGTGTCTTTCTTGCGAGATAGGCAACATTGTCACAGACCTTGAACACGCCTTCGCCAGCAATGTGGATAAGATACAAGACGTCGCGCATGCCAATCTGATCCTTTCCGAGAGCGTGGCTCACAACTTGAACATTTGATAGCCATGAAAGCAGTCGCATGAGGGACCGAGCGTCAGAAGTGGCATAAGCAAACTCACGAAGGGACCCTACTCCCAAGAAAGCATAGACAATTTTCACCAGTGCACCAGCGCCCTGAAGTAGCTTGTCTAACGAATCGACAGACGCCAAACACCTTGCTGTCACTTCCATAAAATTTATCTTTTGTCTCAGTTTTTGGTTGCTGTTTTTTTGGTTTTGAGGCGTCTTTTCCTTCCTTCAACCTTTTTTTTCTGGTCATTAAAGAATTATCCAAAGTGTATGCAAAGGAAAAGAATAAGATGTTATACGCAATACTTCATGGTCTTACTACAAAATGCGCCACCACAAGAAACCAAAGGGTATGCAATACGTGCACATTCGTCTATTCTTTTCTTATCCCATGTTATGCTCTTTAGTAGAGCCCGTGCATCGTTCGGCCATGCAGCGGGAAATACAGACAAAACGACGTCCCATTCCTCCACCACATCCCCGTCTCAGGAGTGCACAAAATCCGCCGCCCCTTCGAACAGTCACACGAACAAATGTATAAAGGCGTTAGCCGTTCCTCCGGCGGCGGGCCTCCTCCTTCGTTGTCAATAAATCGCTGTTCTTGGGATCGAGACGCAAGCCTTGCTCGCATGTTTTCAATGCCTCTTCAGTCCTCTTCATAGCGAGCTCAGTGGCAGCCTTGCGAAAGTATCCCTTCGGCCATTCAGGTGCCAGAGCGATGCAACGCTGCGCATCCCAATACGCCCCCTTGTAATACCGCTGATTGAAATACGCCGCGGCCCGATTGCTGAAAAAGACGTGATTCTTGTTATCCATGTGCACAGCCAGGGTGTAGAACTTTGCGGCCTTGACATTCTCACCAGCTTCAAAGACCTTGTTGCCTTGTGCCTTGAAACGAGCAGCCTCCTCTTTACGCTTCGCCTCACTTAAGACGGGCTTCAGCAGCTCTTTAAGCATGGCTTCGTTCTTGGATTTCTCAGCAAGAGACACAGGTGTGTCACCGCTCTTGTTAGCCGCATGAGGGTTGGCACCAAAACTTAAAAGAAGTTTTACGCACTCTGTGTTCGCGTGTTCTACGGCGATGTGAAGTGGTGTAGAGTGGTCTCCCTCCACCAACAGCTGCGGGTCCGCACCATGCTCAAGGAGGAACTCAGCTGCCTCAACCTGTTTCATGTATAGGGCCGTGAACAACGCCGTTCCACCATGGGCATCCTTTGCATCGATTGCAATCTTGAACTCGTAAAGCATTGCCCCAATACAGTCTGCATCCCCCGAGTGAGCAGCCCAGTGAAGCAGCGTACCTGTCTCACAGTTTTCGTGCATGATGTCAGCGCCAAGCTCCACCAGGTAGCGGACAGTATCCACATGACCCATAGACGCCGAAAAGTGAGCAGCTGTTCCACCCGTGGGTGTTCTGAAATTCACATCGGCGCCTGCATCGACCAGCAACTTTATGGCCTTGTGTTGCCGCATTTTTGCTGCCATAATCAAGGGTGTGTTGCCGTCATAGTTCTTAAGCTCCAGATTGGGTCGAAACTCTAGCAGCATGTTGATCATATCGAGGTCACCGTTGAAGGCAGCGAAGTGAAGCGCCGAGAAACCCCCCGCCTCCACAGAGTTGATGAGACTGTGATTTTGCTTCAAAAAATCAGCGCATTTGGTAGTATCCTTGGCTCGAGCAGCCCGAAGGAACACCTCCACCTCTTCAGAAATCCTTGTTCCGTCATCCATCTGGCCTGGGCGGCGTATGTACTTCAACCAACGATTCGCAGACTATCATGAGAGGTAGAAAAAGAGCCGTCGACCCACACAGCACAGTCCAAAGCAGCCAGACAATATCAAAGCAGGACTCGCAAGAGCACAACAAAAAAAAAATAAAAATAAAAAAAGAATTTGTGCTTGTCTTTCTCACTCTCTCGCTCTCTCTCTCTCTCTTTCTGTGGGTAGGAGAGGGAAGCAAGAGGAGGACGGGGTGTGGGAGGGAAATAATGTGCCAGCATGGCACTTCCTAATGCGTCATTGTTGCTTATTTTACCTCGATTTCTCCCCCTATATTTCTCCTTCTTTCACTCACACGCTCTCCAAAAACACGAAACACATCAATTTGTGATTATTCCTTTTCTTTTGTTTCTTCTTTTACGCATAACCCGACACACAATAAAAAAAGACCGACGAAATGAAGTAGAAAACGAGAAAACAACTCCCTTCAACTCGCATAGGCCTCAGCGTCAGGGTAACTCCGAGTGAACAGGTCCAGTGTGTGGCTATCTCCACCTGCGTACAGAACATCACCTTGGGCATTCCAAGCGATAGCATTGTACCGCGGACTCATTTTTCCCCCATCTGCTCTGCAAGTTGGCATCGTGTTGTTCGAAAAATTGATGAGGTGGATGCCCGTCATTGTCGAAGCAGCACACACCATGTTGGGATTTACAGAAATACTCAATACAGCACTATCAAGCTCCCTTGTAGCCATGCCTTGCCCCATCATGCGCAAATCGTGTGCCACAATACGCCGGTCAAGACTGCTGGTAAAAAGGTAGTCGCCACAACTCCCAATGGACGTGACAGTGCTATAATGACGATGCGCAGAAGTCGTTGTGGTGTTTTGCACCATTCGAAGGTCATACACCATCACCGAGCAGTCTCGCGATCCAGTTACAACCATGTTGTCTCTGTCTGAAATAACATGCATTGCCGTGATAATGTCGTTGTGATCATTGTACTCCTGGATCACCTGGGTACTATCGTACAGTATCATTCTACTCGTCGCGGAAGTCGTTGCACCGCAACAGTATCGCAGTGTCCCGGCATTTCTCAGGCTTCGAACCGTGGTAATAAAGCGAGCTCCGCGTGGTTCGGCTCCACAACTTTCGTGCCAATTGGACTCTTCGTTGTACGTTGCGTCTGCTGTATAAATAACAATGGCTGGCGCAACGGTCGTGTACCGTCCCACCGTGCCTACAATAAGAGTGCGCCCACGGTTTGCGAAGTCCATCGAAGAGGCGTAATGGCGTGAGAGCACCAGGTTCTCGGCAAGGACACCAGAATGATCCCATGTGCCAATTGTTCCATCTACTGACGACGTGACTACCGCCTCTCGGGAGCCACTGCTGCCCCCATACGCCAATGTCAAAATAGCAGAGGTATGATGAGTTCCTGAACGCCGCACAGCAAAATTAATAAATTTTTGTGACTGACTCCATCCAAACGGTTCCATGATATACTCAACATCGTACAAGAAGGTGTCGTCCTGCTGGGCAAATGCTACCGTAGAACGCAGAGTTTCCAGGGTATGCTGATCTAGACGCTCTAAGAGAAGCTCGTGCGCGACCTCCACCATTTTTCCCAGGCACGTGATGCCGGCACTCCGGGTAATGTCTAGGCGAATCATCTGCATCAGTGCAACCACTACACTGCGGACATTCAGCATCTCCGCTTTGGTAAGAGTAGCGATGACCTCAGCATAAGGTAGCAACGCCATCCTTCCGCAGTCAAGACGTCGAGGTGCTGACAGGAAATCCATTGCACGTTGCACAACATCGGTCTTAACTTTGGTTTGTTGGTTTTCAGGAAGCTGCGACAAGAGTGCGATGAAACCATCCAGTGGGTCTCCCCGCTCCACTCGCTGCGAGCTAAAAATAGCTTCACACAAGACATCTAAACAGTCATCGTAGAGGGCAGATTGACACAGTCGCTCCGCAAGCTCAGGAATAATAGGTTCGAAATTGCGTTTCACTAACGCATTGTGGACCTGACGTGCCAGGGCCTCCTTGTCGGTCGCAAGATGCGTCTCCACCTCTTCTGGGAAAGACTTTAGCACCTGCTGGATATGGACAATGTTGCGAATATCCAGCTCCTGCAACTCAACATCCAACTTTATACGCATAATTCGCCAGCTTATGCTTCACTGACTCTCCTTCAAAACAGCGTTCTTTTTCTCCACTCCCTGCTTATTTATTCTTCTTTTCTTTTCTATCTTTACGCTCCTTCGTTCTTACTTTGTTATTTTCTTTTATATATATATATATATATAAAGATAGATATATATATCTATATCTTTCGTCTTTGGAAATTGTTGTCTTCCTTGCAAAGCGGTTCAGCACTAGGTGAAAGAAACAAAAAAAAAAAACATAACTCAATTGAGCAATCAATAAACACCCAACAAGGCTCGAGAAATGAGCATGTCCTCACCCCGCCGCAAAGCACTGCTGTGTTCTCCCTTTCCTTGTGGCAATCTATTAAGATGACCTCTTTGTCTTTCGCGAGATGATTTGAGGGGCAAAACGCCACCAAATGCGCGGAAGGCTATAGGCCTCTACAAGGTTGCCAGTACACATAATCGTCCAGAATTCTTTTGAAAGCGCGATGGAGCCAATCGTGGCATCTACTGGAACACAAGTTGAATCGCGCCACATCTTGACTAAATCCTGAACAACCTTTGATGTCATCAAGCCACGCAACCGCTCGAACCACGCCAAGTTCTCGACATCTCTCGTCGAATACAGAAGAGTTACCCACCGCGCATCATCCTCTGTGAAAGTAGACTCCAGGGGACGGAACAGCGGGAACTTTAGAAAAGCACTAACGGCATGTGACAACGCAACGACATCGCCGGAGTACGCACTTGGGAAAAGTTTAAGGTACCGTGCCAAAATGTTTTTTTCCGCCTCACAATCACGAGCATAACGGCCCTCTGTATTGTAGAAGGCACACTGCTCTTCATGCATACTGCAGTCGTAATGTCGCATTGCAATTTTAGCACCAGGAACAAAAGGACCCTTCACACAGAGACGCAACTCTGACGATGATTTCGGTGCCCAAACTCCAAAGAGACGAATTCCGTCCATGTACTCAACGCTTTCGGGAGTGTCGTCGGCTGCATCGTAATGCCGCGATTTGGTATCTCTGCAAGGAGGGTATGGAGGGTGGAATTTAAGCAAAGCCGCCTCTGCCCTGAGGGACCAGCACCAGCTTCGCTGCATCTCGTTGTCACGCATAATCATAGCTGTGTTATCCTTGTTGGACTGCTTCTTCGGTTCACCCGAACGTATATCGCTAATAAGGAGAATATCGTAATCTGAACGATAGGTACGCGACAAACGAAGACACAACTCATCCGTGCAGTACCCCTCCACCATCTCTTTGATAGGACCGTCAGCGCGTTGAGCGATTTCTCGCACCGCAGGACAGAAAGGAGCAGGGTCGATTAGGACAAATTTAATCGTCTTGAATAGGTCGAATAGGAACGGAAGATGTGATCCATTGGCCGCACCCGCGTAAACAACGAGCAAAGGCTTTGCGTTCTCCTTCTGCATTTCAAGGTATGCCGAGAGGAACTCAATCTCCGACAAGAGTAACTTCCGCTGTCCAAAGTGTAGCCCCTTCAACACCAAATTCTCCAACGTTGCTGA